TATTTTAAAAAAACAGAATACAAGTGTAATTTGTGGTTTGAGATGGTCCAACTGGACAACAGTAATGAAAACATGGGTATTTGGCCAGCAGTTGAGGAAGGAAGAGATATGAATAAATGCAATGACATTTAAATGAAGAAAAAAAATGCGTAAACATGCTTATTTCTCCTCCTTCCATAAACAAAACTATGCCTACAAAACCAGTAAAATTATTTTGAACTGCAAAGTTTCTTGAATTCTCAATGTGAAGATGATGTTTTGTTGAGATGTTATAATGGGCACTTTATTTTTTTTTTTATTTTCTTTTTTAAAGGTAAAAAACAAAGTTAAGCATAATCCCTGATTTAACTTTGTAGTAGTGTTCTTATTAGGAGAAACTGCATTTAGCGTGTCCAGTTTTTTGAGTTTTATTTTTGGTATCTCTTGTTAATAATGTACACTAGAGAGACAGGATACCAACAGACCTGAAACTTTTTAATATACTGGTTCCAATCTAACAGACAAGATCAGATTTATGATGATACAGCTAAACAATGGAAATAATGAAAATAAAAGTATTACGTTTATTTCAGAACCAACGTATGACTAAGTCATCAGAAAGGAGTCCATGGTAAGTCAGGACTGCTTATATTTCAATAAAGGTGATATTAAAAAAATCAAACAAAACCCAATCAACTACACGAAGATTGGCCTTTTAAAAATTCATCATCATCATACTAGCAGTTGTTGTTAGGCACCACTGAGTTGGAATCGACTGACAGTTGACCCTCCAGCCGGTTTTCAAAGGCAGTAAATCACACTGAAGGAGACTGACAATCTTTCTCTTCTTGTCCTGTGGAGCAGCTGGTGGGTTCATGCTTGCCTTCAGATTAGCAGCAGAGTTTCTTACCACTAGGCCATCAGAGTGTCAAATGCCATAATGGTTACCCTATGGTAGACAGTGTTTGGTGGAATTCCCAGTTTAAGAAAGGAAGTATTATCCACTTCCTAAACAATAAGAACAACATGCCTCTGGAAAACTCTATGAATTTGATAAACAACGATAGTTATAGAAAGGCTTCAGGTCTTTTGTTCATAGGGTCGCTAGGAGTCGTGATCTACTCCAAATCAAAAACAACAGGCCGGGGGAGCTCTGGTGGCCTAGTGGCAAGGAGATGCAACTACAATCCCAGAGGCGAACAGTTCGAATCCACCAGAAGCTCTGCCGGGGAAGGAGGGACAATCTCCTCCTGTACCAGCCAGATCTAATTTGACGGTACACGCACACAAAAATAATTAAAAAAAAAAAAACAAAACACAAAACAACAGGCCATCAGAGAGCAGTTCGTGGTTAGTTAACTAACATTTGTTCAGAGAGTTTTGGTGGCCTACTGGGTGAGGAGTTGTAGTGCTAACCCAAAGGCAGGTGTTTTGAATCTACCAGCTGTTCTGTGGCAGAAAAATGGGCACTCTCCTTCAGAGCAATTCACTGACTCTGAAAACCCACTGGAGGGTGAGCTATGAGTCAGTTCTGACTCCCTGGCAATGAGAGATGAGTAGATAGATGGTCAAGAACTGTTTTAAATGTTTTATATCAACTTCATTGTAGATTCGAATCATTAGGGAGGCATGTTTTTCAAGTTAGCAGCCGCAACGCCCTATGATCTATGACACCTGGGCTCCCTAAATAATCACTGTTGTTTTGTGCCGTCGGAACCAACCCATAGCTGACCCTCCAGCGGGTTTTAAGAGGCCGTAAATCGCATAGCAGGTGACTGTCCATCCTTCTGCAGTTCAACTGATAGATCTGAACAGCGTACGTCTGGTTTGCCAGCATTAACTCCTTACCACTAAGCCATAAGGGCTAAAAAGAAGCTTAAAAAAACAAAACTACCGTTATGAGATTATCATAGCTAGCTGTTAACGTCCCTTTCTAGATATAAACCCTCGTACAGGTATTAAATATTGAAACAAGAGTTGTAATAGTAATCTACGCTTTTCTATATGGACTGGATGAAGCTGCCTCAAATACTAGGTTTGTGAAGTGTCATCTCGATTACATGACACTTCTATGCAACTGTAAGCTCATACTCCCCATCCGTGGTTATTAAGTTTCAAATGTCGCACCCTCCATTAATCATTCATACACCTGCATCCAAGGGCGGTGCACTGCAGTCCCGAAGGAGCGCGGCTCGAGGCCACCACATGCTCTGTGGGAGAAGGATGGGCAATCTCCTCCCGCGGGACCAACCGCCTCTGACAACTCGCTGGAGGGTCAGCTAGGGGGTCGGTCCCCACTCTACGATACACAACACCAACACCAACACCACCACCACCACCACCACCACCACCACCACCACCTTCATCAAAACCAAAGAAACGCAGGAGGAAGAGAATGATTGGGAGTAAAAATCTGAAAAGGGAAAAGGAAAAACGTAAAGAAATACAGTGTTCCAGGGGTACCGGTTTAAGTTCCCAGCAGACTTTTTTAACCATCCTAACTGCCAAATTCCCTCGGCATCCGGTCGTGGCAGGAGGTCTAAAAAGGCGCTTGGCAACCTCTGTTGACATTACCCACCTCGACCTACCCGACCTTCCTGCCCGATTCCAGGTCTTGTTAAGGGAAGAATTTGAAAACAAAATCGGTCCCCAGAAAGAGTCCAACCGAGCCCCGTGACGGACGACGCTCCCCGAGGCGCCTCGGGCCGGCGATGCGGGGACCCGACCCCGCGTCCGCAGCGCGCTCCCGCCCGGCCGCGGCACGGAGCCTTACCCGAGGCCGCGCCACTCGGCGGCCGCCACCTCGCCCCGCTCGGCCGCCGAGACGCCGGACGCTGCATAGCCCGCCCGCAGCCAACCGCCGCCCGCCCTCGGGCCCAGCCCCGCCCACCCGCCCGCGCCGGAAGTGCCTGGCCTGATGTCGGAAGCCGTCACCCGCAGCGACTGCGTCTCACCCGGCGGCCGAGTGCACATCTTGACTTGTAGTTGGGGGCGCCCGCCGCCGATGGCCCTCCTGCGCCATTTCTGGAGGTGCTGCCCCTATGCCCGCAGCTGACCGGCCACCTGCGCGGGGACGGGCGGGTCCTCAGGTGGGGCCAGGGTGGCCGCTGCGTCATAGTCAGCCGTGAGCACGCCGGCTGTAGGGCGGGGAGGCAGGGGCGCCCTGCAGACCCGTCTTAGACCTGCACCACCTCTCACGCACGCAGCCACCAAGGAATAGTTTGCCATATTTGAGACGTCGTCTTGTAGAACATATTTTTAGTAATGATTTTTCTTAACACATTTTTTCCAGCGTATTCTTCCTGTTTCATTTTCCTCCATTCATTGTTGTACATTTTCCCCCCTGCCCCTTCTCCCCCCAGTTCATTTTCTCTTCGGAAACATTTTCATTGTTATACAATCCCTCAAGTCCACAGTCCACTTTACTATGCATTTTTCTGTAATCATGCCATGAAAATACCTAGTTCTCTATTCCTTTTAAAGAGTTCTCTCCCTCATCTGTTTAAATGCACTATACATTTATCTCCTTAGGTTGCCCCCAACCCCAATGTCAGTCCCATTTTACAATAGTGGCACTATGCAGTATTTGTCCTTCTGTGACTCAGACATCTCACTCAGCATAATGTAATCCAAAGTCACCCCTTTTGTAGATTTCATGAGTTCCTTGTTTTTCAATGTGGGTAGTAAGTATTCCAATGTGTTTTCTATCCATTCTTTTGTTGGACACTTTTGTTTCCAACTCTTTGCTATTGTGAACAAAGCAGCAATAAACATGGGTGTGCATATATCTGCTTGGGTGGTAGTAATGGTTTCTTTAGGGTATTGAACTGCTGGGTCAAATGGTATTTCTATTTCCAACTTTTTGAGAAAGCGCTATACTGCCTTCCATAACGGCTACACCATCTTACACTCCTACCAACAGTGAATAAGGATTCCAGTTTCTCTACAACCTCACCAGCATTTGCTGCTCTGTTCAATTTTGCTATTCTTACTGGGGTAAGCTGATACTTCATAGTTGTTTGTAAAGAGCTTTATTGTGGTTTAGCTACAATAAAGTTTTAACAAACCATCTAGATCCACTGCCATCACCCCAGGGCATCAACATTGGGCAGAGAGCAAGTTGAAAAACTATGTCTCATCTGAGATACGAGTTTTAACGTCCAGTCACAATTCTGTATGCATCCAATGGAACATTATTTCAAAATTCAATAGAAAAGCAGTTCAAGAGTTGTCACTGTCCTCCACCCAGAGGGCCCTTGCCATTTTCTTGGCCAGTTTTAGAAGAAAAAAAAACCACCAAACCATGGAGTGAAAGGTGTCTTCATCTCTTAATGAGACCCAAACAGGAACACTTAAATTTCATAGAAACTTGAGGGGGTTTAGAAGACTGAGTTCCAGATCTTCCAAAACTTCTAGGACTCTGGTTCAGGAGACTGAAGAAACGTCTTGTGACAGAATCGGTCTTAATTTTGCCAATTAAACAAGGAATTTGTTCTCTTCCATTCATTGTCAGAATATCAAAAGTAGGTTTGACACATATGAACCTCCAAAGTAGCAAAGTATAGCAGAAAAGTATATATTCTACTGTATTTGAAATACCATCCCCACTGCTTTCTTCTAATATAATTTTTATCAGGCTGTTCTAGTCAGAAAAGAAACTAAACAGATTTGCATGAACATTCCCTGCAATACTTCATCAGCGGTGGTCTAAATGAAGGCACTGTCTGTGACATTTGAAATTCAGGTAACTTTATTAAACTGAAAGCATTCTTAAAACTAGTCAAGATTTGTTTATTATAAAAAGAGTATTTCCAAGGCAGAAATATTTCTAGGTTAAGAGATTTGACTTTTTATTCTTTTAACAAATTTTAGAGAGTAGAGAAAATAGGTTATTTACAAAAAACAACAGTATCTACAAAGTACTCAGAGGTACAAGTTTGGTGTCAGACTGAAGTACAAGCTGGACTCTTGTAAGCTGTTCTCAAAGAACATGGTTTTCTATTCTTTGCCTTCGGGTAGGTCTAAGATGCTTCTTCATCTTCAATCTTGGGAGCCAAATAATACTTTAAGTGTCCCATATCAGCAATTTTATATTCTACAACTGAAAGATGACATGGATAAAGTTAATTATTGAGGAGTATCACAAATGCTACCAAACAAACAATATGTGACAAATTTTCTTACCAAGGGGGACATCAGCAGACATACTGAGTGTTACTGTGGCAGACAGCGGAGTAGCTTTTGTAAAGAAATTCAGGTATCTAAGCGCAAAAGTGAGCTGAACTGGCTCATTCATATCTATGGTAACCTAAGAGAGAAAACAATCACCTTTACATACATTAAAGTTACATTAGTTCATGATAAGCTTTATGAATCTTTATTGCCATCTCTGAAGGGTGTTAGGAACTGACTTTGACCAGTGAATGGATCAAAGGACAAAAGGATCACTATGGATGTTAACATCACAAAAGGACATCAAGGCATCACCAGCTCCTGGAGACAGGCGTCCCCCCACTGCTACTGCTCCCCCACACCCTCAACTCCTACCAAGATATCTGCAATGTCACAGGAGCCTGCAGACATCTGCAAGTATTGAATAAACAGTAGGTGCTACATATAGGAATATATTGAGATGCAAACAAATTCCAGACTTTAGAGAAACTCCACTGACATGGTCTAGAGTCTAAAACTAGCTTCATAGTTTTCTTCATACTAAAGAGAAGAATGAAGGAGCCACTGGACTGAAAAAAAGTAAAAGAGCAGAGAACACAGTATACTAAAATACTCATTGCTGAGCTGGAACGGCTTCACAGCTGTAAAACAAGCGGGAGATGGCCCATCTTTTTTTGTGCAGAAGAAATGCTGATGGATCCAAACTGCCAGAGGTGCCTCCTTTGGGTAGGCAGCAAGATGTCCTACGGACCACCCCCTCAGGGAGACTACTAATATACTGGCCCAAACCAGAACAATTTAAAAATGGAAAAATCCTTAACATCAAATAATTTTCTTGGAGGAAGTTAACATATACTTTAAATATGTTAATAATAGTTAATGAAGAAAATATCTGACAGTTGGTTAATAACTGTAGAAGATAGGTGGTGTGACCAACTGGGGAGTAATTTTTCTTCATTTTTCAAAATTTCATAAGTTTTAAAAGCTTGTGTGTGTGTGTGTGTGTATATATATATAAAATGTAGAATATAGTCAAACTTTCTCTTATGGCTATAACCCAAAGATCCCTTCTACAGGGAAAAAAGGTTTATTAACTATGTGTAAAATATCAGCTTTCAAATTTCTAATAAGCTTAAAATTTGAAAAGCCACAACTAGTTCCTGTATTGTCTTGTTTGCTGTCAAGTCAGAACCGACCCACAGGTGACTCTTCAGTAGGTTTTTGATGCAGTTAATCACATGGGAGGAGACTGCTCATTTTCTCCCTCAAAGTATCTTCAGAATTGCAGCATAGCTTTTTACCAGTAGGCCACCTGAGCTCCCTACTGATCTTGGTAAACCTTAAAAAAAAGCTAAATTGAGAGCTGCCATTTAGGTCAAAATCAACTCAACGGACACTTCCAGTATTTAAACCACTATGATAGTAAAAAGTGGCCTAGTGGGTAAGGAGTTGCAAAGGTAGGTTGTTTGAATCAACCAGGAGAAAAATGCTCTGCAGGAGAAAAATGGGCAATCTCCTACATGATTTACAGCTATGAAAATTCACTGGAGGATCAGCTTTGAGCTTTTTTTAAAAAAAGTATCCTAGTGTTTAATATTTTTCTTACAAGTTTATACATATATATATATATATATATATTTTTTTTTTTTTTATTATTAATTTAGTTTTTTGAGCTTTTCTTTTTAAAGAGTGGTAGAAAGGGAGAGGAAAGTGAGTCAATTGACCTCCCCTAACAATTGTGGTTAGTCACTGAACCTTACTCAGTTTGTGTTCCCACCAACATTTAAAGTGAGAAAATAAAAAAAACAAAACACAAAAAAGACCATATGCTATTATATTAAGGATTATACAGAGCTCAAGAAGTGATTAATGGCAAAAATCTTACCCTTAACTAGATCATTCTGTTCAATGATCAATCCTCCTATGTTCAATCATGTGGCAAAAAGGGAAAAAAAACTAACAAAATCCACAGAAACCCAAAGGTCTGATATTTCCTGATTCTATCCTTGAAATGTGTGGAACTGATTTAGAAACCTTTCTGTCATTTGTAAAAGCCTTGGATTTGCCCACCCATCTCACAAATTTTATATTGGATGGCACTTAATAATAACTTGAAATTTCTAATAGTATCAAGTTCACAAGCCAGTTACTTGGAAATGCAATTTTGTCTAGTATTTTAATTTCAGCAACTAATATACTATTAGACAATTTATAATCTTGTTAAAAATATAATGCTTGTTAATGTAAAAATTACTTACAGCCTCCTCCTCTTTATCAACATTACTTGTTTGTGACAATTTAATGTTTCCATTTCCAAGTTCTCCACTTGCAGAAAATTTCACGCCGTCTTTTGCACAGGAAATGACAACAGCATCTCCAATATGACTGAGATCTCGGCATATACGTGCAAATTCTCCAGAAGGCATTTTTACTACACAGCTATACTCTTGTTCCTAAAAGAGCAAAGGTAAAAGTTAACCGCTAGAAAGTGATCATTAATTAATTCCCTAAAATAGTCCAACAACTCAAAGTAAATTTGTATTTTAAACAAGTATGTTGAAAGCATATTTTACAGTAAGAAACAGGTTAAACCTTTAACAACAAATACACTCTCCATGGAATAAAACCCACCTCCTAATAATTCATGAGGGTAAGACAATCTTAGGGTATGACAGAGAAACCAGGCCTAAATGGCCTTCTAAAATATAACAGTATTAAACACCTCAACATCTTTATGAGCTCTGATGCTGATAAGATCTAGTCGACAACACAGGGAAAGAGCATGCAGGTTAATTTGAACATGCACACCTAGGCACAATGATTTCAGCTAATTATATCAATTTATGGGTATTGTGGGTCAATAAAACGACACATGTAAATCAAAGTAACAAACTCACTCTGAAACATGTACAGTAGAAATTGTACTAGAAAAAGCTTCTTCTATTGGTAAGTAAACTTTAGACATTTACACTTAAAACTAGTGATCATACTAGTGTTTAAAAGCGCAGCAGTCAACAATTAGAAGCTTTGGTACTCACTGGAATTCCAAGTTGTTCAACATCTAAATCCATTAACTTCATTTCATAGTCAGAAACTTTTTCTTGGTCTACCGGGGGAAAAAAAATCCAACAACGTTGAAGAAAACCATGCACATGTGGGAGCATGACAAAAATTTATAAAGATTACATTTCTCAAAGCTTTGCGAAACACTGATGCTGCCTTTTAACTTTCTCCAGCACAAAGCAATAAAGAGTATGACTTACTTGGCGCTTCAAACACCAGTGCCAGAGTGTCTGCGTTATCTTCAGCCCTCAGGGTAATGATGTCTTCGTTGCCAGCACACTTTAGGATTTTGGACATGCTAGAAAACAAAACAAAAAAAAAGGGGGGAGTTAAAACGAATACAATCTTTTGAAAAGGGTAAAAGTTTCTAAGACCATTAAAATCTACGAATTACCATTTTCATAGACTAGACTGATGAAAGGAGGACACACTGCTGAAGAATGTGTCAACCGGTCAAGCCATTTCAGAGGGCAATCTGGCAACATCTACCTAAACTAAAACTGCCCTGGACCAGCAATTTCACATCTGCTTGTAAACAGCATTATCCTAATTGTAAAATTATTTGGACTCGAAAGAAATTGGCATCGTAAAACAATAAACCTCCTTGATTTATTGTGCGTAATATAGTAGACAGTTCTCAAGCTTTAGTTGCACAATTAAGTATTAAACAAAAAATACGCAGTTCAATAAGGTCAAAGGGCGGCCTACTGAAATTCTTGTGTATGTCTCAACACTTAGGTTTTCACCGCCAAGCTATTTACCCATAAAAGACTAAACCCCCCTGGGAGGACATTGCCCATCCTTCTCCCGTGGACCAGCTGGTGAATTCGAAAAGCCTGCCTTAGGGATTGCAGCACAAGAGGAAAGGAAATGCAGTTAGCACTTTAATCCGATGCCATTTTTCATTAGACGCACGATCTAGAGCGGTCAAAAGTCAACCACGACCCAGGCTTTCCCATGCAAGACCTCTATCATTTAATAACTTAAGAGCTAAGGAGGATTGTTTTTTTGGAAGCGCGGAGAAGCGGTTCATTTTCCCGCCACCAGCTTTGTGAATTTGGCGCGGAAAGAGCCGGTTCCCGCGGCCGCCAGCGCGGGCTTTCGCGAACCGCGCACTCCGCCGGGCCCGCCCCTACGCGCTGCCGGCCAATGGGAAAGAGAGCGTGACTTTCGCCAGCCAATGAAGACCGGGCTCCGCGACTCCCGCCAAAGGCCGTGGATAGGGGTGGCGCGGGCCCGGATCCTCTCCCCCATCCCCGCCTTACCTGGTAAGGTTCACGCCCATGGCCAGGTTGCGGTCGCAGCGGTAGGTGTCGAAGCCCTCGGAGCGCAGAGTGAGCTGCACCAAGGACACGTGGGACGAGTCCATGCTCTGCAGGTTCACGCCGCTCGAGCTGATGTCCCAGCAGGCCTCGTTGATGAGGTCCTTGAGCGCCTCTAGCACTTTCTTCAGGATAGAGCCCTGGACCAGGCGCGCCTCAAACATGGTGGCGGAGTCACAAAGACGCGGCTGCAGGCGAGTGAAGAGGAATGTCCAGCCGGTTGAGGCCTCTGGAGGGTCAGCGAGAACAGGAAGCCTGAGAACTAGAGGACCACACCACCCCGCTGGTTCCGCAGCCGTTTAATGCCGCCGCGTCTCGGAGCGCGCTCTCCGGGGGTTTGCGCTGCGCACTGAAACGTCACCACGTTGCTCAGCCCACTTCTGGGGGCGTGGCGTCAGGGCTAATCGAGCCCTGCCTCCCGGAGAAGCCCGCCCACCTGGGTGTTCATTGGCGGGTGCTGGGATGGACGTGACAATCATACTGAGGGGGCGTAGCTGATGGGCGGTCCCCGAGCGACGTGGCCGCCTCTCGCGGGTCTTTCGCCTGCTTATTTCCGGGTTCCTGATTATATGTGGGGTCTAGTCTATGGCCGGAGTCGTCACTGCTCAGCTATATAGTCAATAAAGGGTCGCTGTCTTCCAAAGCTCGGCATTAGGAGTAGCTTTTCCAGCTACTAAAGTGAAATTTAAATTTTGCCTGTTGTTGTTGTGTACCATCGAGTCGGAACCGACCCGTGGCTGACCCTCCAGGGTTTTCTGAGGCCTTTAATCTCTTAGCAGGACACTTATCTTTCTCCCGCGGAGCAGCTGGTGGATTCGAACCAAGTGACTTAGCAATTGCAGCGCAAGGAAGGAAAAGCAGTTATCACATTAATTTGAACTCAAAGGAGAATTGCCCTACAGAGTTTTAAGGGCAACCCGTAAATCTTAACGAAGACTGATGAAAAGTAGAACCGCTAATTTTTTGCTTACCAACTAAATATTCGTTATACCGGCTTTGAACTGGCGTTGTTACAAAAGTGGTCCACTCCTAAGAGTCAAATAAATGATAGAGGTGTAAAAGCATAACAACCATTATTATAGAATGAATATACGGATCCAAGGGTTGGGGGAGGGTGGAAGCAGAGGGATGAGAATGTGCAGGGGGAGGGGCATTAGTTATGGGGTTGTATAATTAGAGGGTGGGAGGGTGAGGGGAGGAAATTGGAAGAATCAGGTGTGAAAAACAATGTGTTTGAATTTTGTAAATTAGTATAATAAAAAACTAAAATATCAACTCGGAGGACCATCTCTTTGCATGTATAAACGCCCTGCCCTTGATTTACAGAGACCATTTTACCAAATTTCTAAGGCTGAAAATCTTGTTGGAAGACTGCTAACTGGCTTTTCAGATAGCAGAGAGTCAGACCCAATTGTGTAACTTTAATATGACTTACGAGGCAATTTTTTTTCTTCCTCTCATGTCTTGTCCTCGAACAGTGAGTGGTTGTTTATCTTGATTTGCTTTTAAATTTTTATCGTGTCTAGAATATTCTTCAGTTATCGCATATCTAGTTGTGAATTTAGTTTTGTTTTTTTTAAAAGAAAATTTTCTTTTATACTGGTTTACTTTCAAAGTTCATATACACTGTTTTTCACACAGGATTATTTTTCATTTCCTTTACCCACCTCTCCCTCCACCCATCAGACTGTGCGACCCTATGATTAACCACCCCACCCCCACCCTCGTTTAGTTTTCTATATCTAATTCGAGGCATTTTGTGGGCGTCATGAACCAGAAGTTTCCACCACTGTCATAAGGTCTAAAACAGTCTCATTCATCATTATCTCTCCCAACTCTCTTCCTCCTTCATTTCCGTCGTTGTGTAAGGTAGAGTCAGAACTGACCCATAGCAGGCCTCCCGGCGAGTTTTCAGATTAATTGCACAGGGTAGGGGATTGCCAGTCTTTCTTTGGCACAGCAGTTGGTGGATTTGAACCAAGTACTCTTTAGTTAACAGAGCAACTCCTTACCACTAGGCCTCCAGAGCTTCCTTCACTTCCACTGTTTTTGTTATTACTGTTTATCATCAGGGTGGAACCGACATATAGCTGATCATCCAGCAGGTTTTCAGAGGCTCTTAAGCAGTTGGTGGACTCGAATCTCAGGATTGCAGCGCAGTTTCTTGTCATTAGGCCACCAGAGCTCCCTACATTTATGTTAGACATACCTAGTTTAATGAATTTAATAAACTAGGCATGTGTACTTTGGAGATGTCAGGAGGGGGCTATAAATTTATAATTTATCTTAAAATTTTATAAAAAAATTTAAAAACAATAAAAATTATTTAAAAAATTTTAAAAACAACTGTTCACTGTGAAAAGGATACTATATCTTGGTTGGAAGGTCAGAGAAAGGAACCTCTCTACATTATGAATCCACGTGGTGCCTGTAACAATGGGCTGGAGCATATCAGACGGAAAAGTTCAGAACTCTTGTGCATCGTTAACTTGATGGCACTAAACAACAGTATTGAATTTAAGGTATAGTCAGTGGTTACAGATGGAGCCCAGGTGGCTTGGTGATTAAAGCCCTTAGCTATAAACGAAAACATTTGTAGTTCAAACTCACCAGCTTCTCCAAAGAAGGATGAGGTAATTGGCTTCCTTAGAAAAAAACGTGGAAATAATATCCAGCAGTTGTTCCTCCTTGTCCCAAGAGTGATTGGTGGGAATCAATTTAAAGGCAACTTGTTTGGATTTGTTTGTTTGGTTTTCCATTGTTATATGCAGCATTATTTTATGTAGCATAGAAGATGGGGGGAAATGCTATTAAGCTGTCAGCAACTCATTGCTCTGGAGTTCGGCCTTTGGGTTGGTGCTGCAGCTCACTGAGTACTACAGGCCCAAGTTGTTGTTAGATGCCATCTGCTCTAGCCCAGTTGTTATGGTCACTATGTCAGTCTATCCTATTGAGGGCCTTTCTCTTTTTCACTGACCCTCCACTTTTCCTTGGTGGCCCTGTGGTAAGAAACTACTGCAATCCCAAAAGCACACAGTTCAAATCTACCAGCTGCTCCACAGGAAAAGGATGGGAAATCTTCTGAAAACTTGCTGGAGGGTCAACTATAGGTCGGCTCTGGCTTGTAAACAACAGCCATCTTTCCCATCGTGATGTCTTTTCCAAAGCCTGACCGCCCTGACCACACGCTTAAAGCATGTGAGACAGAATCTCACCATCCTTGTGACCAGAGCTTTTGTCAAATCATCACAGAATACCTTATTCACTAGAAGTTACTAACTATAAGTCTCTAGTTATTGAATGGCATTTAAGACTTTCAAAACCCTTTTATTCATATTATTAGCTTCGTGAATACATATTAAAGAAAGTAGAAGGTAAACTGCTTAAGGCATTACTAAATTTTTCCATACTAAGAGTTGCCCATTTAGTTGCTGGTGTTATGTTTTCCCATTGACATGCTCTGTTAATGAAGCATTTCTCAAAAGAGTGTCCCGCAAGAAATATATACACATAGCTTTATGCTTTTCACAGCATTAGTCACAATAGTAAAAAGATAAAAGCGACTATGCTGCCTATTAATGGAAGAATGGATAAACTCTGATAGTGTCATGTTGTTGTGTTGTTGTTGATGGCCATTGAGTCAAGCAAGCATGACTCATAGCTACCGTATGAACAAAAGGCCTGAAGCTCTTCCACAACCATCACCATGTATCACAGTTGACAGAGTTTCCAGAGGCATGCTGTTTAGGAGGTAGATACCACTCCTGCTACATACTAGAAAACCCATGAGTTCATTAACAGGAATAGAATTGTTATAACTGACTCATAGCTGACGCTCCAGCAGGTCTTCAGAGACTGTAAAGGTAGTTCACCTTTCTCTCACAGAGCAGTGGGTGGATTTGAACTGTGTGCCTCTGAGTTGGTAGCACAACTCCTTTTTTTTTTTTTTTTTTTTGTGTGCGTGTACCGTCAAATTAGATCTGACTGGTACAGGAGGATATTGCGCCTCCTTCTCCGGCAGAGCATCTGGTGGATTGGAACCGTGTTCCTCTGGGATTACAGTGCAGCTTCTTGCCACTAGGCCACCAGAGCTCCCCCTGTAGCACAACTCCTAACCCAGTAGGCCACCAGAGCTCCCTAACAGGACTTGTGGTCTACACAAACCACAGCCTCTTCTAACCTGACACCAAAATTAGATAGCATCTAGGTATCACTACTGATTTTTACGCACAAGGATACAATAGAAGATTCTGAACAGAACGGAAGTATAATGAGATGGACTGACACAGTGACTGTAATAATGGGATCATATATACCAGAGATGCTGAGGACAGCATAGTATAGGGCAAGGCTCATGGGGGTGTCTGGGTTGTATTCATCTACACAGCACCCAAGAACAACAACACAGGTTTTCAAAAGTGAAAATTGCTATGAAGCCATTCTGACTCCTGAAACCTCACGTGTTGTAGAATAGAATTGTGCTCCATTGGATCTGCAAGGCTGTGATCTTTCTGAAGGGAGTCCTGGTGGTGTAGGCTGTGGTCTATCGCACTTTGAGTTCACCAGCAGGGGCTCAGGAGAAAGATGCGCAGTCTCCTCCCATTGAGATTTCCAGCCTCTGAAATGTGATGGTGGGGATGGAGGGCACCTGTGAGAATAAACTGACTCGATGGCCAAACAGTGAGACCTTTAAGAAGCAGATTCCTAGGATTTTGTTCCAAGGTGCTCGGGATAAGTTTGGACCAAGGACCTTTCATTTAGCACTTAAGCACTTTAACCATGTGTGCTACCAGAAAAAGAAACATATGTGCTATCAACCTGGCTCAAGTCACGGCTCTCAGCGTCCTCCACATTCTGCTGGTGTGAAACGAACAGCTGAGCTTTGGGATAGTTTGTGGAGATGTTCACTCAGACAGGACATTTCAAATTATTTGCTCTCACCTGTGGAGGAAGTGGCTACTGAACGGGTCTCAGAGAATACGCTTGCTCTGTGTAGACATCTTTTAAAGTTTTGAGATACTAAAGTTAGCTTAACTTACCCAAGAGATGCCTAATTTTAGTTTATGATGATGCAACCACCGACAATGGTCAAAATGGTGTTATTGTTGTTATGTGCCGTCGAGTCGCTTGCGACTCATAGTGACCCTATGTACAACAGCCCTAAACTCCGCTCTATCCTGTGCCAATCGCACTGTCTCTGACACTCCCATCTCAATT